CTTGACTTTAAAGCTGGATCGGCCCCTGCTTGTTCCATTAGAAAAACGTTGTTTTCTGCACTACCTTTTTTCTGACGCACTCTAAATGTTTTTAAAATATGTCCGTTTTATAATATAAGTATCTACCTTTTCAAGATAACGATGAAAATATAGAACCAAATAAAGTACCGGTTAACCGTAAACTTACTATGTTCTCTCGTTGTAACAATTTCGAGGTTTTTATTTTTAAGAAAGTATTGGTTCTTCTTGCAAATTTGGAAATAAAACATGGTTTATTCCATTGCGGAACGAGTTGAATTTTTTTAATCCTTGGCGCTAATTAGTGTTGTTGGTTACAATATATTACAATGTTCAGTGCTATTACTTATTCCTGATTGAATTAATTCTATGTCTAACCGCCTTACTAATATATTTTTTGGCATTATCGGATACTTTTGGAAACCATTCCAATCTATTAAAAATAAATTGTCGGGATGTTTAAAGGGCCTATCCGTAGATGATAGTGAGTTAATCAATCATCAATTATTTTCCACCATATAACCCACTCTGTATATCCGACCCTGTTCTTTCGCAAGCCCACACTAACACATCTTTCATGTCAGCCTTGTTTGTGTTAGAAGAACCTCAACTGTTGCATTGGCACTAAACCGCGAAATTTCCGTATCTCTTGCACTGTTTACTTTTATGGCACTATAAATATTTGTCTGAAAGATTGGTAAATTTCTAAACAAGATCCATCCACTTTGCAGTTGAGGCTGAAAATCTTGGCGAATGGTTAACATCCCTTGCAACTGCTGTTTTATTTAGGTATTAATTTATGCCAAGATTGGATTTGTTGCAGTTTGTGCCTATCAATCCGAACTACCAAAGTGAATCTGAATAATTTAAACGCCAACATAAACACCCCTTACAATGTTCTAGAAGATCGGATAAAAGGATTTGATTGGGCAGTTTGGAGTTTTTTACAGCACCGCCTATAGTAAAACAAAAAAATGAGTTATTTCCAAAAAATATAGCTCGAGTGAGCCTTTTAGACCGAATCTCGCTTTTCATAAACATAGCAATTTTGTGGTAAAATCAGATAACGCGTTAATTTCAGCGGTTACTCAGCATGTTTCCTAAAAAGTTGTAACCGCTGGTAAGGGCTGTATTCCCACATTATTTTCGATAATCCAAAAATTTGTGACGAATCAAAATTGCGTTTTATTTTTAAAATAATTATATGGACCAGGCTCTATTTCAAACAAAAAACCGTCAAAGTTGCCTCGACAAACAGCTATTTTAACACTTTTTAATTTCTTTAGCTACCTGTGTTTCAAATTGTCTGTAATTGAAGACAAAGCGACTCAGAACTTTAAAAAACGATGGTTGTAACATTTGAATTAATTGCTTAATTGCAGTAGCAAATTTATTTAAGTTTTTTTTATTGGAATATTTTTATTATAATATTATTTGTACGCTATTGCATAATGTCGGTACGTAAGAGAGTTATGATTTGTTAATTTAATTTTATTATATAACTATTTGAAATTGAAAAAGCTTGACCACTTATTTCAAATTCAGAATTTTATGGAAGTAGGTACGAAGAATTTAACTTTACGATTAATTTATTGTTAATTAATGGTGAACTTGAATACTGGACATTGCTGATGTTTTTAAGCAAAATGTTATTAAATAGCAAAAAAATATTGTTAAACAGCAAATAAAATGCTGAACAAAATCCTCTATGGTCCATGTAAAGATTCCAAATGGAATATGTATTATTAAAAAATCTTGAATAATTAATCTTTAGTTGTTTTCGATGTTCGAGCCCCTTCTGCACGTGCTTGCTTATCTTGGAAATGAAGAGGGATACGAACAAAAATAAACAGACAAAAAAGTTGTATTGGAAGCTTAAAGAATTGCTTAATCGAGAAAAGTAGAAAAACTCAATACTTTGACTCAAAATTAGTCAGGTTGTCCTTCGGCTTCTGTTTAGAGCAAAATTAACCGCTTTCCGCCACTGCTTTTTTTCTTTCCGAATAATTAAAACTTTGAATTGCAATGTATCGTAAATAAGTACGTGTACAGAAACTGTAGGTCTGAAGAAAATTTTACCCGAGGCAAAAAAGTTTGAAAACAAAATCGTCTAGCAGCGCGAACAAAATTAAATTATTTGTACGGGGGGTAACAAAAATATACATATTTATTAACAAACCAAGCCCCATTTTTCATATTTCCTTGCATTAAAAAAAATCCCGTATAGATCAAACACCTCAATTTATGTAGTAATTGATGTTTTAAAAATTAGTGAAAATATAAAAAAGCGTTTATAAATTATTTGAAAAAAAAACGAAATTAGTTTGAAAAATTTGGCTCCATGAAAGTAAGTAAGTTTGTCTAAATTGTCTTAACCTCTCACTGGGCTGGTGTAGAAAGATTCATTTTGGTATCATTTTCAAAGCTTTTTTCAAATTATCAATTGAATGGGTTTTTACGTGATCAAATCAATTCATTTCTGTAAACTTGTCTTACGATAGTGATGACAATTTGAATGCATTTATTGCTAAATTTACGAGGATTTTTGCTACCGCTTCCCTTCAAGTGATTCTTTATTTATATGCAAAATTCCAGTTTGGAAAAAAACGGACGGTCTTTAGTAAACAAAATCCCACTACTTATAAACAAGCTAAAGTTCGCATCAAGTTTAAGCACCACTTTGAAGTACTTACGACGGTTCTAGTTAAACTTCACCCATTAAGTCGCTTATCGACAACTCCTATAAGCAAAAAAGGGCTTCTGTGTTATATTTCTTGATAGTGCATTTTACCACTCTGACTATCCCTCAATTAGCTAATGGGCCTAATATCGTAAAACTGCGTGTCTTCAGTGATTATTTTTGGCGCCTCCGCGGCCCTAAAATCGCTTTAAAGCTTTCTAATTTATGTTCGAATTGTCGTCCGGTGCCCAACAACCAATTTAATAGTTAGCAGCTACTGTGTAACTCATTGGGGGGTTTGATTTCAACATTTACCTGAATTGTCTAAGGTTTGAGAACAATTTTCATTGCTTTATTGCTAAGGTGTATCGACATCCTTTGTATAAGCGTTGGAAAGTGACCGACGGGAGTTGTTTAGGTAAATACCTTTTTAAACAATTGTGGTTTAATTAAAAGTTTTCCGAAAGTTTGAAATACCTTTGAGATAGCATAATAACATATAAATTCCATAAAAAACTCAAGTTGGCTATGCTACGGATTCTTGGGAACATTGTGTAACAAAAATAATGTTTGGTGGATGATCTGTATTGATGCCAAAATCGCATAAAATAAATTAAAACTTTTGCTCCAGTTAGCTGTAATTCTTCTACCCCGTGTTGCTTGCACCACCCTGTACGTACACACGTGAAAGTGATATTGCGAGTATAGAAGTCCCAGAGTATAGAATTGTATTGATCCAGCTTTAAATTCAGGGGCGGGGGGTTATGTAGAAAAAATGCAGTCTTCTGTTGTCTATGAAATTAGAAAAATTATCGTCGTTTTGTGCAAGGGTGGCGTAAGATTATTGCAAAATTTCATGTTCTTCGTCCCGTTTCGCATGTTTCTCGGAAGCAAAATGAGCAAGAACCGCTTTTACATCATTCCAAAGAGAACTAAATGGCCTTTTTAGAAAGTGAACCATGGATGAGGAATTGTTGGCAGTTTTCTCAAAAAATGCTTGAATTCAAGAAGTTTTAGATTTGCGTAATTTTTTTTTGAGTTGCAAAATCCACTTGAACATAACGCTGCTTTTTTTGAAGTTTCTCAAGAACCATTCGAGCCAGAGAATTCGTTTCGGCATCGTTGGATAAAGAATTGAATGGTCAAGACCCCCATGACCCCCTCCTGGATCTGCCCTTGATTACAGGATCTTCATATTTGCGTGAATTATTCACAAAATAAAATAAAATGTTAAGTTTAAAAAGCCATTTTAAACATATGTTTGTATGATATTTTTGTCTCAAAATTGGATTTTTAAATAGACCGTTAACGTCCTGATGATTGGACATTTGATATAGTGGCTCACCCTCTATATTAATGAAAGCTCAAAGGCGCTCATAGGTGATAAATTCGAAATCTAAATTGAATAAAAAATGAATAATAATTGTAAATTTCTTCAAACCGAAAACGGAAATTTGAGAAAAACTTTCTGGCCATCTTAAAACTTTTCGTACTTCTTTGTTTTCTTTTTCCAATTCAATCTAGTGTTCTCCAATTAAAAACACTTTTGAATTAAACTTCCATAGACTCTAGTTCCGTGTAAAATAATAGGTACTACAAAAATTACATTACATTGATTAAAAAAACTTATTAATGCAAAATTAGTTTCATATTTCAGAATCTCACTATTGTTGGAAGCTTTTATTTTTTTATTTTCATCAGTTTGTCTCCCTCTTATCTGACGTCAGACAAATCTATGCCACTGAAAGATGCGAAGGTAGCAAACCTAACCAAATAAATCGAGTGTAAAACATTCTAGTTTAGTGTCTTATTTATTTCTTTAATTTTTCTATAATGAACCACACACAGTAATTTGGTAGCTTTTTACGCACATTTTTGTCAATATGCTGCAGAAACCGAAAATTTACACAGTGTTCAAAACGGTGAATTCCATCGTTACCACTTTGTCAGCCCCAAGTTTTTTAAGGCCAGTTTGCGCTGGTTTAATTCAATTGCGGACTAAAAGGGGGTCGTCGAAAGACAATGTTTCTTCGCTTTTTACACCCATACAGATTAAACCAAATCCAGACGATATCAACGTGGGGGCAGAGCTTACAGGGAATTTAAATAAAGCTGATTTGCTGAAAGTTTTAAATAAGTTTTACCAGAACCCAAGCATAAAGCACCTACTTACGGAGAATGGCTTAGACAGTAAGTACCGAGGTTAATAAGGATTAGGGGTTTTAAATCATTAAGGTATTTTACCCAGTCTACCTGCAGCATCAGGCCTATGTAAGCTTTAGAAGGTACTGTTTGGAGGCAAATACCCTGCCTGTTGATCTACATGTAGTCGTCAGCGATATTTTGCAAGGTGCTGGAAACCATACTGATATATTTCCGTACTTTTTACGACATGCCAAGCAGATGTTTCCCCATTTGGAATGTATGGATGATCTAAAGAAAATTTCCGATCTAAGGTAGTTTTCAGGCAAAGTTTTACTCGCTTAAACTGGTCTGGATAGTACATTTCAGTATTCCTTTAACGTAAGATTATTCTGATAAAACTTAGATCTCCAGCTAACTGGTACCCAGAAGCCAGAGCATTGAATAGAAAAATAATCTTCCATGCGGGTCCAACTAATTCAGGGAAAACTTACCATGCTTTGGAAAGGTATATCACTGCCAAATCGGGGGTTTACTGCGGCCCACTTAAATTGCTAGCATCTGAAGTCTTCAATAAGTGCAACGGAAGGGTATGTCTTTGCTGTAACAGTCTAGAAAATGATTTTTACAGTTCTAATTTTTGTTTGCACCTTAAAATAAACTAGACTCGTATCAAATAACCCGAGAAACTGGCGCGTTCATGGTCGCTTTCGCGCCCGTGATTAGGATTTGGACCTATATTTAAATTTGATGGACATAGGAGGGCATAAGAAAGGAACTTTAAGACTAAATAATATTTCAAGTACTAAAACGGGCGTTTTTAACTCCAGTTTGGTGGGCATAAATAACGTTCTTAGAGGCGCATCCACCTTAGTGTCTAGAGAAGTTAGTTGCTTTAGGAGTGTGATCAATCAATTTATTTTTAGTGGTAGTATTTAATTAACTAACTTTACACCTCTGCTTGTAAAACTCTGAAAAATTTAACTATTATTTTAAATTGCTCAAAAGCAGAATTATGTGGATTTTAAGCGTTATTTGTCAATTCAGTAGAACTGAGTACAAAGTTTTGCAATAAAATAATCCAATAATCGTGGATTAGAAGAAATATTGGCAATATTTTTAGTCAAATTTGATCAGTTAACAATCAAAGCAAAATAGAAATACTGAAAAAATGTTGCAGGGAACACCATGTGATCTTGTAACAGGAGAAGAACGAAAATTTGCAGATCCTTTACAAAACCCATCCGCCCATGTGGCTTGTACAGTTGAGATGACTTCAGTTACCAATCCTTGTAAGTCACTTCAGGCAAAAATTGTTAATATTCGGGACTGAATTTTGTCCATTTTAGATGAAGTAGCTGTAATTGATGAAATTCAAATGATCAGAGACCCACAAAGGGGCTGGGCCTGGACGAGAGCCCTTCTAGGGCTGATGGCTGAAGAAGTCCACCTGTGCGGCGAAGCAGGAGCTGTGAACTTAGTTAGTCAACTGTGTCTTACCACGGGCGAAGATATAGAAGTTCGGAATTACAAGCGATTGACTGATCTGAAAATTGAAAATCAGGCTTTAGGTAAGCGAACGGAAAATGATCCATTATTTAGGCAAAGAAGTCATTCCCTCTTGTTTTTTTTGCAGGAAGCTTGGAAAGTGTGAAACCAGGCGATTGTATAGTATGTTTCAGTAAAAACGACATATATTCAGTGTCGCGTAAAATTGAAAATATTGGAAAGGAAGTGGCGGTAATATATGGGGGCTTGCCACCAGGTAAACTTTTTTTTATTTATTATTCTCTCATTTTTTATTCTTGTTATCTTAGGAACTAAGCTGGCACAAGCAGCAAAGTTTAATGATCCAGAAAACAGTTGCAAAATACTGGTTGCTACCGATGCAATCGGAATGGGCCTAAATCTGTAAGTCTACGACAGGGATATTTAGATGAATTCATTTTTATTTTATTTTTATTGCCCAGGAGTATAAGAAGAGTTATTTTTTACTCCCTAATCAAACCAACTATGAATGAGAAGGGCGAGAAAGAAATGGACACGATCTCAGTGTCACAAGCATTGCAAATCGCTGGCCGAGCTGGAAGGTAAAAAACCTATTTTTAACCGTTCATTTCTTTACTATTTATTTCAACTTTTTGAAGGTACGGCACCAAATGGGAACAGGGCTTCGTAACAACGTTTAAAACTGAAGATCTGCCAACTTTAAAGACGTTGATGGCCTCTCAGCCAGAGCCTTTAACACAAGCGGGTCTTCACCCCACTGCAGAACAGATAGAACTTTATGCCTATCATTTGCCTAATTCGACTTTAAGCAATTTGATGGTAAGCGATATGGTTTTGTACTGAAATTGCTTCTTCGATGTAATTTTTTTCCTGAGTCTTTAATATGAAACTTGCTTTCAGGATATATTCGTCAATCTCTGCACCGTGGACAATTCGTTGTATTTTATGTGCAACATCGATGACTTTAAATTTCTAGCCGATATGATTCAACATGTTCCTTTGCCGCTTCGAGCCAGATATGTCTTCTGCTGCTCACCAATCAATAAAAAGATGCCATTTGTGTGTACCATGTTCCTCAAGGTAAGCAATTAGCAGAAAAAATGTCAACGGTAATTTAATTTGGTTTGCGTTGTTAGTTCACTAGACAATTTAGCAAAAATGAACCCATCACCTTCGACTGGTTATGTTCGTCGATTGGTTGGCCTCTGCAACCGCCTCGCACCATCCTCGACCTCGTACATCTAGAGGCTGTTTTCGATGTTCTCGACTTGTACCTTTGGTTAAGGTAAGCCGGGGATTTTGGTTTAGTTAATTGGGAATTCGCAATGTTCATGAATTGCAGTTACCGGTTTGTGGATTTGTTCAACCAGGCGGATTTAGTTAGAGACATGCAAAAAGAGTTAGACCAAATTATACAGCAAGGAGTGGTACAACTGACCAGATTGCTGCAAAATTCCGAAACAGGTATTAGCTCGGGTACATCTAAGGCAGATGAAGAAGTTTTCGATAGCCATAATAAGAAGCAAAATTATTTGCGAAGTAAGCAAACATTTTTTTTGTCGGGGTTTTCAAGCTTTTGAGACCAGATTTATTAGTATGAATTTTATTTGAACTTTTGTTTAGATATCCAGTCGTCGCCTGTTGGCAAAGGGAGGCTTACGCAACGACTATTAGCTCAAGGAATCCTGACACCGGACATGCTAAGTGAGCTCAAAAAGGAATGGAATCGAAAGGAAGAATTAAAAGCCAGTGATAGTGATGAGGATCCTTCACCCCCAAAAACGACCGTTAGGAGAAAGAGGAAAACCACTAAGTAAATATGTATCTAAAAAATAAATCATCGAATATAAAGCCTTTTTCGGGGTGTTTTATCTTCAGAAGTCTAAAAAGTAATTAAACCCTAGTGAATAAGTATTTTAGCAGCCGGTTCTCAGTAGAGTGCAAATAACTTTAATTAAAAATCATACACCAGTCAATTGAAATTTGCTTTACTACTTTATTGCGGCATCAGCATCTACAACAATAACAAGCACAAATAATCAGTTTGGTTTTTTAACATCGTTAAGAGTAACTTTTTTGTACGCCTTTAAAGATGAATTTTAAAATTCACTTGCACTGGACAGGTTATCCCAATTCTAATCGTTTTGGTTGCGACTCAATGAACTCTGCCCTATCATTTACCCCCTTTTTGAAGTGATTGATAGTTAATCGCCAAAAGGCTATTCTGAAGTCGGGACTATAAAAGGCGTAGATAAATGGATTGATAGCTGAGTTAATCCATCCCAGCCATGTCATATAGAGCATGATGAGCCGGTTGACTTCGTTGGGTTGAATGAACGGCGTAAGCAAGTAGTTGATGAAAAATGGAAGCCAACATAGGATGAAACCACCTGGAAAAAGTAAAGTTTATTTAGGCAATTAATTTTCATTGTTCAGTCGTAGGAGACTTACCCATTACGATGCTAAGGGTTTGTGCAGTCTTTGATTCTCTTCGCAACGACGATACTCTCGATGCAGGCTCATAATTTAACATGGTTAATTCTACTTGGGATGGTGATGTTATTGGTTTAGTTGGCAAAGATGATCTAAAATTTTCAATGAACAAATTTTCTAAGTGTAAATTAGCGCGCCTACCTAAAATTGTTGTAGCTCCTAACGGGAGTTAAAGATCTGTGGTCATGGAATGAAAAGCTTGTGTTCGGCTTGAGTAGTCTGGAGGATGATTTCCGAGGCGTGTCAGGTAGTATGCTATTTCTGTAGTTGTTGACCAAACTGGACGAGCGCGCGCTACGGAAAAAACCATTATTTAATTTGTTTTTATTTAAAAATGTTTGTCCAATATACCTTGCAGATCTGTCTTCAGTTTCGGCCGAGATTCTTTCGATATCCGATTCTTCAATGGTAATCCCATTCTGCTTACTTTTCTGCAAAGCCAAGCTGATGTATTACATAGATTATGTTTTACATCGCACTTACCCTAGTGTATGAGCTATTTATGTGACTCAATTGATCGTGTCTCTGGGCAATAACACAGGATATTCTCACGTAGACGTACAGCATCACAATCATGGGAATGAAAAACGAGCCCATTGCAGAGAAGATCACATAGCCAGTGTTTTGGTTATATCTGCAGGTTTTCTGGCCGTGTCTGCCTGATTCGTACCTAAAGAAGAATTTCTTCAACCTAATAAATCGAAAATTACTTTGTTGCTTACCATCCGAACATGGGCGGTGCGGTGATTAATGCAGAACTAACCCATACGATAAGTATCATTACGAAGGCCAAACTTTTCGATCTTCGTTTTTTGGAATAACTGAGAGGTTGGGTGACTGCCAAGTAGCGATCCACACTAATCGCACATAAGCTGAGAATTGAGGCCGTACAAAGAAGGATATCCAACGAGACCCAAAGGTCGCAAAGCACCCATCCCAACTCCCATGCACCTAAGGAGTCCCAAATATCAATATTACTTTACCTCTCCTATTAGAAATGTATTATGATACTAATCCCTGAAACTACGTCGAAATGTCTGCGGAATGGAAGCGATAAATCCAATTAATCCAGACCGAATCATTTATTTTCGACAATAGAGTTGAGTGTGCTTTTCTTAAATAACCTCAGCCTCATATAAGAAGAGAAATGAGAATTCTACCACAGTTTTTATTGCACCAGATTAAAGTGGTCTGGAAATATTTTCATTCAAGAGCAATCAGAAAAATCGAGCCAATTCATGAATAAAGATATCGCCATTGAACTTTTCAGATGTCGTTTAGAAGCGTATTTTCCGAATGTATTCTTGACCGATCAATCTTATGGCTTAATAAAGTAATTCTTTACCTATTCACCAAGTTGACTACACATTTAATTTTTTCCAGGCGACAATTTTGCGTTTTATAACAAGCGACTTACAAGAAATTACTTTATTCCTTTTCAGTGCCAAGATAAATGGGACTGATCATGAATAATTTAACAAAAAGACCTGCTTCCATACCGGGTGTCATCGCAATTGCTTTCCGGGCGTCCGTTTTAGACTATTAAACGGAACGCGGAAGTCTTGACATTATAACTAAAGTTTTTACAACTTCAGCTTTTGCTCCAAAAGAGTTTTAAATGGCGTTATCTTTATAAAGCGTGCTGAATGTGCTTGATACTTTTTCGGGGTTTCTTCTTGTTTGAAAATTCCTCTCACTTTATATTTTTTCCTAAAAGGGTTTCAGTGTTAACTAATAATACAATGGCTTTTTGGGCCTGCATGAATGGCAAATTTGTAATTAGCGAAAATTATTTTAATCGAGTATTTTGCATACATAAAATTTCCTGTGCATTTCAATGTTTAATTGATCAACCGTGAAACGAAGTGAAAACCAATAATTTCCAAATAAATGTATCGAAAATTGAAGTGTAAAGATGTAAAAACAGAAAATAATAATAATTTGAAGCAAGGGAATTTTGTTAAGAAAATTAAAAAATTAAGTAAATATTGGTACTGTGATTTTTTCTGCCAACCTTTTTTTATTCATCGCGTTTAACGCAATCTTTTGAAGGTGCAATTTTTTCCTGGTTGTGCTCTGAATACTTTTACAGGGCGTTTCAAACCTAGATGGAGTTCTAATTGGAAAAATACAGAAAAGTTGTCGAAAAGAAAACTTCGATATTTAAATATGAGGGGTTATAAACGGAATAATCACTAGTTACTGTGTTTTAAAAAGCTTTTTTACTACATATTTAGTATTGATTAAATTTGAGAATTTAGTTACTGACTAAACCAATGAATTAATTCAGTCCACATTTTTTGAATTGTACTTTTTTAAATTTTATTTCGGGTTACTAGTTTAGGCCTTACGGTCAAAACATACCTTTCATAGATTTTCCTCAGATTTTATTAGTTATAGTTTTTTTTTTTTTTTGAAGAAAATTGAACATTTAATATTCTAAAAGGTTCTTTTCCAGAAAACGAGAACTGAATATATTAAACGCTCCCCTATTATATATTTTTTTGGTTCACACACACCGTTTTAACCATCTATATCTTTGCGGAAAATTTAATAGTTTGGGATCTACATAACTCAAGTTTAAGTTTTTAAATAAATCTCGCTTATATAATTTTTCTGATTTTTTGAACGTTAACTCAGTTAAATCGTGCAAATATTTAAGAATATTCAATTAATAAAATTCCATAGACCATTTGGGGTCATTTGTAACTTAAACATTAAAAAATTGTACGCCGCTTGAAAAAAAGATTGTTACTTTAGCATTTCGATAGAGGAACGTTTTTACTATAAAAAGTTCCTTTTGATAAATATCGATTACTGGCGGAGTTTGTATGTAAATCGATCAAATTTGCTGTAGTTTCATACATTATATTAGCGCTTCATCATCAATTAAATAAATTTGAAAAATGCACGATGAAACTTTTCAAAAAGTTACATTTCTAAGCATATAATTTGGTTTTGGATTTTTTTATATGAAAACCTCAAAACATAAAAATGCACCAATCATTGAATATTAGAAACCATTCACTTTGCCTCAATACCTTTGGAATAAATACATATTCCCTCTGCTCATATTACCATATTTACTTTTTGGCAACAGATGGAAGCAAATATCGGTTTTTATTGGCTTATCCTTATCGATCTTACCCATTATAAGGTAAGCAACAGCTGGTGGCATCACAAAAATCCCCACCAGCCAATCGGCAACCGCCAAAGACATGACGAAACAATTTGTGACTGTTCTTAAACGTTTCGTTGTGATCACGGCCGCTATCACTAGAGTGTTTCCTATCACTACTATCACAATCACTATGCTCAACAGGATCACTAGGAATGCCTGTTGATAGCCGAATTTTCCAGGGGCGGCTTCTTGGAACGGAAACAGGGTCATGTTGGAAGCATTGTTTTCCGCGGGCGTGACCACGGTCGTAGTCATAATGAATGATCATTTCTGAAAAGAAAAAAACTAATTATTTTTTTTTATAATCAACAATGTTCCAAATTTATTACTTTATTCATTAAAAACGGCGATGGGACTGAGAGTTTCTCCAGTTCACAATGTTTCATTGGCTTAGGCTGCAGTTATTTATTACTTCAAATATCTGATATAAACCGATTATTTATCGACAAGTTAATCTCCTGCAGGTCTCTGAGAGCAAAGTGACGTAAAAAGCAAGAACGCAATATTTATTGAAACAAAGTTTCAGAAACCTGCTGGAACATCCATAATGTTACCGAAAGTTTCATGGAGTTTGCCATTTGACTTGCAAATGGGTAAATAAATTTACAAAATAGAAACATTACAGAAAGATAAAGTTCTAGATGGAGCTTAAGGCGGATTGAAAGAAATGATGAACTTTAAATGTGATTAGAAAATTAATAAAAATTGTTAATTTTACACGAACGGTGTCTCGGAGATATTGCTGAGGTGCGAAGTTAAACTGAAGTAGAAAATGAAACGTGCGATTTTTCGTGCTTTTAGACCGGCCAGAAACATAATTTATTAACGGTGTTAAAGCCACATGTGGCTCACCTCTGAAGGTGTGAAACATTCGTGCTTGCGAAACGTTAGGAAGAAATTGTATACGTCGTCGGTCTAAAAGACCGACAAATTCGTCAGCTTCAAGCAAGTCTCGCGAAAATTTAAGTCTTTTGATGAAATAAAAAATGCGTAGGTTTAGAGAATTTATAAAACAGTGCAGAAAATGAGCCAACATGTTTCATTGTTGATCTGAACATTCACATGGCATTTTATTTTTGTTATTTATTTCATTATAACCAACATTCAAGTGTTTTTTTCACATTTTCATTAATTTTAAATTTAAAAGTTTATTTTATGCACAAATTCCTCCAAATTTATCACGTCATAAGCGCGAATGCATTAAGTACGACCGGAACAAATTTTGCTTAAAAACAGCTCCTATAGCTATTGTCCCACAGTTTCACTCTCAGTTCCCGGGGAAAAACTGTATACCAGGTGCCTCAATTTTAAGTCAAAAGCGCTTTATACACTTTTGCATGGAAAGTAAAATAAAGAACATTCTAAATAAAGTAATGTAATGTTTTAAAACTAACAAAGGTTTAAAATTTGGATTGAACATTTTTGCACTTCTAATAATTGAATATGTAGCTTTCTGAAGAGGGCCAGAGTTATGTTTTTTTGGGTGCAGCTGCAGTCATAGTATTTTGCAAGCTCTACTCTAGTTTGTAGCTCCTATAGCTATTGTCCCACAGTTTCACTCTCAGTTCCCGGGGAAAAACTGTATACCAGGTGCCTCAATTTTAAGTCAAAAGCGCTTTATACACTTTTGCATGGAAAGTAAAATAAAGAACATTCTAAATAAAGTAATGTAATGTTTTAGAACTAACAAAGGTTTAAAATTTGGATTGAACATTCTTGCACTTCTAATAATTGAATATGTAGCTTTCTGAAGAGGGCCTGAGTTGTGTTTTTTTATGCAGCTGCAGTCATAGTATTTTGCAAGCTCTACTCTAGTTTGTAGCGTATTTGAGTAAACCTTTTTTTTGGAACAATTTATCACCGAATAAAAAATGAATTTTATGGTAAACATGACAAAGTCTTGGTTCACACCAACACCCTGTATATGCAACAATATTCAATTCATGTACTTTAATCCTCTGTATTTTTTTTGCAATAAAACGAAAACATTTCACTTTGCTCACCAAACAGTCTATATTTGTTTAGATAGAAGAAAAACGACTAAACAAATTTTAAAACGAAACTGTAGCCTGACAGTTGATTATTGCTTTCCCGTTTGTGCTGTTATTAAAGTCGGAGAAATGTTTGTTAATTTGTTTTTCGCTAGAAGATTGACAGGTATTTCAAAAGTTTATCTTTCCCAGGATTATAACATGGTTCACATGCTTGTCACATCAATTGCTTATGTTCGATGTTGTTGGGCGGTCTTTAAATTGGAATCTACAATGCATTAAAACATATTTTGCCAGTTTGGAAAGTTAGGAAAAACTATTAAAGGGTGTGGTAATTATTCCCTTTAAATGCGTGTTTGGGAAAAGTGTTTTGTGGATACCCTGATGCGTACACAATTAGAATGAAACGATAGCGCTAAGGGATTATTTGAGGATCCAAAAAGTAGTGAAAATCAATGTTGCGAAAAAGGCAAGTCATTAACCATTATGCTGAATTACTTACGCAAAATTTCCGTAATCCTTTTCCGAGATGTAAATTAATTTGGAATAGTCATACATCCCCCAAAGTACATTTTCATGTAAAACTGACGCACCGCAGAATTCTAATTAAACACTACAGCTTACGTTCATCCAAAGCCGTAACTAATCCAGCATATCGTTCAAGTACTCGCATAAATTAAAAGTAAATCTTCAATAGATTAAGTCATATTACTCATTACGCTTTTTATTTTGGTGGATAGTATGGAAAATTATATTAAATCGATCCCGCTATCTTGTATGCATAGATTACACATCCAGGATTTACTATCCATTCTAGTTTATTTTTTACTATTTGCGGTGTTAGTATTAACGGGATCGAGATCGTTGCTTGGCTTATCCAGCAAAATGTTAATCAGCTATCTGGCAAATATACAAAGTCCATTACTTCGCATCCTGGTTTAACTGTAAATTAACAAACACAATGAAATTCGCGCCATTAAATCCAAAGCGATACCTAACTCCTTCTTCAGCGAAATGTCTGGGTAACACAAAAAATAAAATAAATGAGTTGTAAGGAAATAGGAAAAAAAGCCTGGTAAGACAGGAAATTTGCATCTTGAGATACAAGATTCGAAGACGGCAGGCGAAGCTTTCGGGAAATTTGTTCGGTTTTGTTATGAGCTTACCATTTTTAACCATTTAAGTCCCTTTTTTGTGTGACAGAAAAACCCTAATTTTGCTGGTGTATGCAGAGTATTTTGCGACAGATGAACATGCTACAAACGATTTTTTTAAAGCACGCCGACAGAAGTAACGGGGGAACAGTTAATCTCTCGACCTCTAAAGTGCATGTTTTTTGCAACCGAGCGCTTTTTCTGTCGCTGCTGTATTAGAATACATTAAATGTTAACATCTAGAAAGAGAATTTAAAAAACCACTAGATTGCATTATTTGCTCAGTAACAAATTCATTTAATTTGTTTCGTTTTTTCATATGGAGTTTTCTATAGTCTGATAATTTCAGCTTAGAAAATTTAAATTATTAGTTATTTGGAACAATTCTTTTTCGGTTAGTGCGTGTTTTTGCAAAAAATTAGTGCTTCAGATAAAGTTTCTACAGTTTGACAAATCAAATAATGCAAAATTGGTGAAAGTTTCACGTGTTCTCAGTTGGACAAAAAATCTTTTGTTTTTGTTTCATCCCCACAGGAATTAAGATAGACCTTATATTTCAAGGAAAGGGCTTGCATTTTTCGCTCATTTCGTATATTTACAGAGTGGTCTTCAAAAATCAACTTTTTGGTATGGTGTTGCAGTGGACTTTTTTCTGGGAGTCGATATTCAAAATCTATGGTGCGTGTTAAACCGAAAGCTTCGTAGTTGTCTTGATATGAAAAAGAAAGTCGATCTTCTCGCAAAAGATTTCAAGCAACACTTGCAATTGAGGAGACAACGTTGGACGCATTGCAGAAATAATGAGAAAGCAATCGTGAGAAAGAGGGCAGATTTCTTAACAAAAACGAAATTGGACACAGAACGGACGTCTTTCATACAAAAATAGAAAAATTCAATAAAACAGTTCTATTTTTTAAGCTTTATGATGCGACTATAGAAAAATGAACGGCTCAATGACTGGTTTATCTCTATATTCATTCCAATACATAAAACAATCACATCTACAAAGCGTGGAAAATCTTATACGAACAAGCAAGGCTTTAAAGGGAAAGGAAACCAGACAATTAATTAATTGGTTCTCAACTTATGGCAACTTATAGAAGAATGTCGAGAATTCAATATTCCAATGACACTCTGTTACTTGGATTCCAAAAGGCTTTTGACTGTGTATATTGGAAAATATTAGGAAAGGTTCTACGCGAGATGAAAGTGCCTGAATAATGTGAGAACAAGATGGCAAAAGTAACAATACAGATCCAACACTTTTTCCTATTTAAGTCCTCTAAACACAAAAAATAAAGAGACAAGCCAGCAATACAATGTTAGTAGCAGCACCAGAGGAGAAAATCTCGGACTTTTTAATCCGGGTTGGAGCGACACCACCGTAAAGAATATTTCTTTGGTTCGAGCCAGTCAGCTATAGAAACGCCCTTAAGATAAATGCAGAGAAAATAAGAATAATGACTTTCTTCGTTCTAAAACACTAAATCACGACATCTGAGGAAGAGGAATAACCAAAAGTGCAATGAGCAAATTATCGAATATCTAGAAAGACTGTTGTATTAAAACAATCATTGAATGAGAAAATAGTTGAATGACGATTCGATGTGATCTGAAACCTGGACCTATGAAGAGCAAACAGAAGAAAAGTTCATGCGTGCGAAAATTGGGCTAGAGATGCATGTTCGAATTCCATGGATTCTTTGAGAATGAAACATCGAGAATCGATTCTCTTGCATTTATCTTGCAGGCATCATCAAGTCTTTGTCTGAGGAGTTTGATCGTTTTGACCAACTCAATGAACTCATTAGTTTGAAACGGCCATCGCCACTTCGTTTTACGATGTTGTAAATAAAGCGTGGAACCGAAGCGAATGGGGATTAACGATCACGACTTTCAGTAATGAGAGAACGATCAGAGATAGTGAGGCAGAGACAGATTTCAAACTGTTTTAAGTTTTCTATTATGAATTAGCACTTGAGTCCACGTTGTTTTCTTTCATTCAAAATATTTAAAACTTCAAAGCGTATTTGTAAAAATTTGGAAACTATTCAAGAACTTCATCGCAAAATTCCTACAAATTTTGTTTGAAAAATATGTGGGCATTGTTGCCTACTCACTTTTTAGCTCCCAGTTTGTACTTACTTTTAAATTATATTTTTCACCAAAACCGGCCTGCCCTGACAATAACAATCCATCGATCGATTGAAAACTTCGAAACCAGCATACATCTAGAATCTTGTTTCAATGAATTCTTTTTAGCAAATAACCGTAATTTTATATTTTCACAGTCACGCATAGGTACTTTTCAATGCGCGCTTGATACAAATCTATCTGAATGGAAATGGAAACTTGCGAAAATTGACCTGTCCTGACCATACGACAAATTAATAATAGTGCGTCAATCTAAATAAAAGTCCAAGGCGCAAATGTTCATTCTACCAACACGTGCAAAATACGGAAAATTAATGTAAAATTAAACATTTCAGCCAATTATTAGCCTGATGATTTTTATCGAAAGTCGAAGAGATTAATTTTTGCTTCGGGTTTCTTAGGCGTGTTTGTGGATTTGAAAAAACAGCCCGAAAAATTCTGTACCAGGATGAAAATCCCAAGAGTAACCAAAAGAAAGGATTGATCAAACTACAAAATTAAGCCCAATTTTTGTATGAAACCCATTTTTCATTAATATGTAAGTTGATTTATTCATTGTCAGCAAAGTTGTTTGAATCTAGAACGACTGAAACCCACAAATCTAATTTAAAATAAAGCAGTTTTTCCAAACTATGTTGCTTAGGTTGTTTCAGTAACCTGCTCGGATTACTGATGAACCACAATCAAATCATCATATAATTCCAAATAACATATTCTTCATCTAGTTTTCCGGCAAATAGATAAGCGTTGAATAATTTATATTTTGCCGGTTTAGTTTGAGTTAACACATAATTTAATCAACTTTCCTCCAAATAATTTGAGCCGTTTGCAAGTCATCCCGAAGCTTTTTACTGACGCACCTTTTAGTGTTCTGACGACACTTTGCAGTTTATGCATCTAATTAAAATAATGTTACTGGACACATCAAAACATGCAATTTAGTTGTAAGGAATCCGTACTTTTTGAGATTACCACAATGTAATTGCAATTATTGCATTAATTATTACCCATAAAGTTATTACAACCAACTCCAACATATAATATTGCGTAGGTAATTATAAAGCTATTTATGGTTGTTGTTGAGATCATTGCCACCATTTAACTAATCAAATCAATTAATGGAATAATTTAAAATGCGAGCAGGAATAAACAAAATATCCTTTAGATGAACGGGTGGAATTTTAATAAAATTAACTGTTGAAAAYCCATCRCGTTWTGTRWCCTGTACAGTCTGTCCCAAGATTTTTTGCAATGTCGCAATATACTTGCCCACTTGGAAAGATRAAAAATKGATGTTATTAACGYAACTYTTAGTGACTTAGTGGATACTGCCAACAAAACCCAAAGAGGAACAAGAACATTTTTAGTTTCCTGCTAAACAAATTGAGGTAAAGTCCTTAACCCACCCAGTAGTATTATGCAACAAACTAATCCCAATGTAAAAAATGTAAAATACAGTTCAGCTTCTTTGCCTGCTAACATACTCAAAGGCTTTTGCGTTGCAAATGCATCGAAAGGTCCGCTTTTCCAATATCAGGATTGAATTTCAGGATGTACCGGTATAATAAGCTCATGGCAAAGATGAGGTTCAATGAAAAAGTAAATTGTTGTGCTTGCATGCAGTTCTGTATCCCCTGATGCCAGTCTTATAGCAAACGTTCTTCCAACAAATGTTTCTGTAAATAGACTCGGTTATATAGAAGCGTTATTTATGATTAGAGAGCAAAACATACAGTTTATTTCGGCTGTTGAAAATCCACATATTTCTCCAGAAAGTCTCTATTATCCTCGATATTGATTAGCTGTGCACAAATGTGCAGTTTCCAAAATCTAATTTATTTGCATAGTGAAAACCACCGATCTACACAGTAAATTATGCAATTAAATTCAATGACGATTGTGTGCAATTGCATTATCATCAGAAACGTTGTGTTTATGCACACATAAAATTGCGGAACGAGTATTTTTCAATTTGCAATAAAACATTTTACAAAAGTTACCACTAATTAAATGGTAATACATTTCCAGAACATCATTTTAATAGAAAATAAGTAGTAACACTAGCAAAAAGTGCAATACTGTCAGACATAGAGTTTCTAATTTGCTGACGCTTTACTTTAATGCATAACGGACGAAATCATCCTTATAGGCCTGCGGGTTATCACACATTTTTGATTATTATGCCTACTATACAAATATTGATAAATCCACGATTGATTTGCCACAGAAACAATTAGCGAATCTTTTGCATGAGACGGAATTGAGAACAACCAGCTTAATTTGTTAGCATCCTATTGTTCAAAATAATAATTTTCAGCAAAATATGTTCAGCTTATTAGAGTTGAATCATTATCATTAATCTTTCGGTTCTGAAACTCCAATGTTGCAAATATTGCAAAAGGAAATAAAAGTGTTTTTACTGCAAGTGCTCGAAATGTAACGTAAAAGCCATAAATAAAGTAATATACGACGTCCAAGTGTTCGATTTCAAATAAGAAGAATCGTAGATCAAACTGCCCAACTATCCCAGAATAATATCCATTCGAACGTAAAAGTTTCCATTGTTTTTCAGTCGTTTCCTGCTAAATTTCCAATGCAACCTGCATTATGGATAGTTTATCGTTACATGAAGGTCTATTTTAATATTAAGGCGTTTTGATTAGTTAAAGCTGCCCGCTTTTTATTGCATTGGCGAGTATAAGTAGCTCATACCCGAATAACGACAATGAACTAAATAACTTCCATGTATATTTTTGAATTGGCGCTATTATCAGAATTATAAGTGAATATTAAGTCAGCCTAACTATTAACTGAACTAAAAGATAAGCAAAATGGGAGTTACCTTAAAAATTTACTTAGTTGATATTGAGATTTTCTAGACACAACTTAACAAAAAGCTACTACTTCCCTTAAAAAACATTCGATGAAACTGACATGATATTGAAGCCAGTAGACGATAAACTAAGTCACTCGAGATCTTAAAATTCCTAAGGCGTAAAGCGATTTGCTTCAATAAACTTCAAGCATAAGATGAGATTAGCCGATATTGTATTGTTCGCAGTTCTTATCTGCCACTGTAAATATAAAATATATACTCCATCTAGGCTGGAAATATGGATATCATAGTTTATTACAGGCAATTTTTAGAAAATTTCCCAATCAATCAACATAATTATTACTTATGTGATTTGAACGGTTTTAATTTAATACGAACTCTGAGCAGGAGAATGGGGATTTAATATTTTTTTATAGGTAGACAGCGAGTAGTGCGCAAATTTATTTTAAATGGTTTTAGCCATTTGTCTGATTAAGGTTTCTGAGTAGCTAACGGATAGAAATTGTGCACGTTCAGCACTAATTACGTTTACGTGGGCGTCATTCAACTATCTTTGCTTCTTTGAGCTGTTTTTCTTGCGAGATCGAACTTTCCATCTGCTTTTTACATAATGATTTATCCGAATAATTTCGCTTCACTCTTAGGAATTCTGGTCGACTATCGGCAACCTATTATCCTTTAAATAAAAAGTAGATTTCTAGGTTCCCATCACATGGACGTCGTTTGAATTTTAACAAAAGTTGTTTAACAAACATTTTCAGTAGGTTTTCTAATATTTTATTCAAAATTGTGGAGAAACTGTTCAAGATAGCTCTTTAAGCGTGTCATGTTTATTGGCTGATTGTTACTTTATCATTATTATTATTATTACCGTGTAATTAATCGCCTTAATTCATATTCTGGCGAATTATTAATTAACTAAAGTAAAGTAGCTGCTGCGAAAATAATGCAATAATAAGCAACACGAAAATATCATTTTCCAAGTTATAGCTTCATAATGAGAAGCTGCTTTGGTACAACTTTATTAACATTCAAACTTAAATTGAACTTCCTGACTAAACCAAATTTTTCGCTCTCTACGCGACTCGCATCGGAATTAAATGTTTTCAAGTTCGGAGTATGGGCGTAAAAATGAAATTGGAAAATTGTACTTTTCACAAATGTTCTCCATATTAGGACAGTTATACCTGCTTGATATTCCGGCCTGCAATTGACAGGGAATAATTTTTTTCCTGTTCTCTATAATCGATTTTTATTTCGAGTTTTATTTTGATTCTGCCGCCTACAAATTTAGGTAATGTGAAAAAGTTCTTTCAGTGATATTAAAATTCTCAAAATAGACTGATGTATAATGGAAAGTTTTATTTACATATTTTCCATGCATTTAATTCCCGAAAGTACGTTATCGGACGGCTTGAATAATGACAATATTTTATAAGAAAGCTACGTTTGAGTCAGCGTAAAAGGGTTGCCTGTATGTTTTAACGCCCACATCAGCATACAGCGTCTTATTTTAACCTTCTGGTAGAAAACTAGTTTCGGCATTTTTAGCGTCTATTTTCATATTTTTACTATTCCTTTTTTGCTGCCTGTTTTCGAATTTATGATTGTAGAATTGCAAGGCGTCCTTGCAAAATAATATTTGAATAACAATAGTAAGTAATGTTGTAAATTAATAATAAATGTGTTTTTGTACTCTCAATATGATTAGATAATTCCATTAAAAATCCCGCTGTGCATATTGAACTATTTACAAATAGCCATTTAATTATAAAGTAAAGTCTAATCATTTGATGTGATAACCTGCGAGAACATTCAGCCATATGGTAATACCACTCATGTGTGCAATTTATATGTTGATTTTTACTGCATATGGATCATATTTTTATGGGCATAATACTATTGATGTGTCACCTCGGTTGAGTGAATATCAAGAATATTTATTGTTGCTTTTACGGGATTCGAGATCGTTTCAAAATAAAATCGTTTCGATTTATCAAAGGCCCAAGCCAAAGTTTAGGCACGAAAAACAAGTTGAAAAGTGGGAAAATTGCTCCTAACTTACATATCGGAATTTTTTGTGTATGCAAATACATACTGATGTCTGAAGACGCAAACTGCTCTTTTTTATTAGTTGAACGTCTGAGATACTTACATGAGACAGTTTCAACCCGATGTAGCTGTTCCTTTGGCAATCTGAAATATTATGAATTTATTAAGAAATAGTCACCGCTTAGTGCACTTTTATCAAATGTTGGCTTCGTACAGGGTGGTTTAGTGGGAGGAATGTATTTTCAACATAACAAAATACGCTCAAATGCGAGATACTTTGAGTAATTGTCATTTCAAAACTATTAAAACAGTTGCTTCGCCTTTTTCTTGAATTAATTAAGGCAAATATGGTTTTGTCCAGATTCTAGATTAAAAACCTCCTGCAGTACATTACTTGTAGAACCATGTCATATAAGCAGTTTCAAGTCCGTAAAAACTTTAATAGCAACAGACGGAGAGAAAGTCAATTTTTTTATATACTTAATAAGAATAGCTCCCGTCGTGTTTTCCTTGCAAAGTACCATTTCAGGGTTTTTGTTTAAGACATGCTACCATATGCTACAGTCTATCTGTTCCTTTTCGTTATACATTTTGCCATTTAGTGGAGAAATTAGAAAATTAGATGCTGCTTATTTCTGGCTGTTATTCAGAGCACTCGCTTCAGCTGCTGATTACATTACCCTAGTTCTTATAGCATTTAGTTTTGGCTTTAACGTATTCAAAATGGCACCAGAAATTCTTAATTAAATCGGCTAAATATAATGTCCCTTATTTAACATATGCATAAATTATTTTATGCGTTAACGTTTCATTTAATTTTTTGCTGATTTGGATTATTGCTAGCAAAAAGAGAAGGAAATTAACACATAAAGTACAGAAAAAGTATTAATGTCCTATAACAAAGACACAGCTATGGGCTTGCAAATAATTTCGTTTATATTTCGCATTTTGTAACATTTAGCTTCTCCATTTCCCGTGCTAAGCCCTGTTTTTGCTGACTGAAATTCACATGTTACTTCCGCAACAGTTTATTCTAGTCAATATTTGAAGTTGCAAATAGAAAGCGCTCCGTTATTACACGACTCAAATCGAAAGATAAATTCATAATTTAGCAACGTATGACAGCCGCATTTCCTTTATTTACATAAAGTTTCACTTGGAATTCTCTTTATGCATTATGACGGAATGTATGGCAATTATTTTAATATGGTATAGTGCAGTTTATGCTCGAAAATTAAA